ATTTAAGTACAAAGCTCTAATGTAGTTTTTCAGCCATTTTGACAGCCCTAGTCGTCAGTGCAGCGTTTCTCAGCGTGTGTGTGTGTGTGTGTTTAGCGCCGCATGTTTCTCGTGTGGATGCTCTCATCTCTCGTACTCTCCTGCACCGAGCTGCTAATTACAGCGAGGGAGAGGGAGGATCCGTAACTGTGCGCTTGTTATTTAATCCAGACCTGTTAACATGTCGCCGTTTGTTTGGCTCTCCTTAATTACCCAGCGGTCATTTCACACTCGTTCCTCTGTCTCTGCTGATGAGAAGGTGTTTGGACAGAAATACTGTCACCTGCTGTCAGACGAGTCGTTTCAGAGTGTTTTGCTGCATTTCTCATAACACATGCATGAGATTCTGGAACTTCTGCTCAGATGTGACATGCTCGCGCTGAGTGCTGGTGTGACGATCTCACGCGTTCACGCTCTAGTGCTAGTGAAGCACATTGGTGCATGAGTCCACACTGCGGTGATCAACAGGCCGTTCACAGATGAAGGTTTACTGTGTTCATGCGTTCTGAAGGGTTTTTGGCGAAGCGCAGGCGAGATTTATGCCCAGCGCCTCACGGGAGGAGAAAAACACCCCTTCTTGTTTTCTATGCAGGAACATGTTCATTAGTCTTTTGTATTGTATGGTGCGTTTTTGTTTTTGCAAAATCATAAATCTTTATACAATTAGAGAAGATCCACTTGGCTGTGCAAGTTTCCCTCAAGATTAATACGAGCAGCTCTGCTGCGCAGCACAAAATAAAAGACGCCTCCTGACAAAATAAATTGCAGGCAAATGTCGTTCATCTTCAGAATCGATCAAACTCTGCAGGTTTATTGTTCTGGTGTGCAGTTCAGACAGAAGGAAGCGTTGGCTCTGTTGGGCTGCAGACTGAAGAGGCTCTGGAGCTGGTTTTGATGTGAATGCGGTGTGATGATGTTCATATGAAACGAGTAAAAGTGAAATATTGATGGAGCGAGAGCAGCGGTTCAGTATAAACTCACTGTAGCTTCATTATTATTATGATGTCTGTGTGTCTGTATGTTTGAGTTGTTCTGGTCGGAAATGATGAGGGAAGAATGTAGAATCGGCAGCGGCGAAATATGAATATTACTGTTTAGTTCAAAATATTCACCAATATGTGCTTGCAGAAGAAGTATCCCTAGTCTATGAGTGAACGTAAGAACATAAACTCACGGAGGATTGAGACGTCTTTAATACGTCACTGGATGACTGGACGTCACTCACTGTCACATTTGTCTGTTTCCATGGTAACAGCACTTTCTCTGATTGGTGGATCTCTCTTCAGGATTATGGGTAGTGTTGTTATGAACTGATTTTAATATGTGAACTAGCTACTAGGACTAGCATTGCTTTGTTGGTTCAGTATTGTTGGTGAATGTTGTCATGTGAGCGTGAGTGACTGCAATCCTGTAGTGTGTGTGTGTGTGTGTGTGTGTGTGACAGAGAAAGAGAGAGAGAGAGTGTGTGTGTTTTATAATGCATTAGAGTGACTCTTGCAGTCATTACCGGCTTCAGCACAAGAAAAACAGTAACATGTAATTATCTTCATTTTCTTCCCTGTGATCAGAGACTTCAGATAGTCACCCACTTCAGTGTGTGTGTGTGTGTGTGGCTGTGTGTGTGTGTGTGTTCCTCTGTGTTTGACATGTGATTGTTAGCAATATTAACCCTGGTCAATGTGTGTTAATATCTTGCCACCTGACCTCTGCCCTTCCATTAGTATCACTGACTGGTAAATTGCAGTAACAGACTGTTTTCTAAAGGAAGCAGCTCTTTTCATTTGTGTTTATATTGGGTCATGGAAATATTTTTAGCAGACTGAGATATTTACCAGCTTAAAATTCTTCTTTGGCCTTTTTCATCTCTGGAGGAAGCTTGCGCAGATCTTGAGGTTTCAGCTGGTCTTCGGCTCAGAATCAGACAGTTTTTCAGGCACCTCTGGCTTACTGTTTTAAATTAACTATAATTCATGAACACTATAATAATGTAATTCATGTCTGTTAGTTCAGTTTAAGGTCAGGCACAGTTTAGTTTGCTCTAATTCAGAATTATAAAGGTTCAAAACACATTTTGTAATGATTTATTTCCCCCCTGAGGTCCACTTGATTATTAAAATGTGTTATGGTGCCTTATGTAAATGATTTCTGTTATATTTGGCTAATCTGTGTAGCTGCTGAATAGGTTTACTACACAGCGTTGATATGCAAAACTGGACCCTATATTAATGTGATTCTGTTGTGATGTCATAATCAGAAAGATTAGTTTAGTTTCAGTAAGTATTATTTTTGTGCTGGTGACATTTTGTGGTTTTTTATTTTGAGTTGTGAATTTTATTTTTCTAAACAACTGATTATTCATGGTAACAGCCTTTAATGAATGTGATTTATTAATGAGCCCTAATCAAGGAAGGTCAATATCATTAATATTAAAAATGTCAATTTTGTGAGTAACATTAGTAATGTCATATATCACTTTCAGTAATGTAATTTGTACTAATTTGTACTGTCTAATAATTTATAATATTAGTAATGTCAGTCATAAGGTCTGTAGTATTAGTAATTTCAGTAGTATTAATAATGTCTGTAATATTAGTAATTTATAATATTAATAATGTCTAATATTAGTAATGTCAGTCATAATGTCTGTAGTATTAGTAATTTCTGTAGTATTAGTAATGCCAGTAATATTAGTAATTTCTGTAGTATTAGTAATGTCTGTAATATTAGTAATTTCAGTAGTATTAATAATGTCTGTAGTATTAGTAATGTCTGTAGTATTAGTAATGCCAGTAGTATTAGTAATTTCTGTAGTATTAGTAATGTCAGTAATATTAGTAATTTCAGTAGTATTAATAATGTCTGTAGTATTAGTAATGTCGGTAATATTAGTAATTTGAGTAATTCAGTAATATTAGTAATTTCAGTAGTGTTAATAATGTATTTTTGTCTTTTGGGTAATTAGCTGTAAATTCGAGGCAGAGGTATTTTTCTTTTGCGGCACCTAAAAGCGACACAGCTTTTAGTCTTTTGTTCATCACCACTCACCTCCACTTCACTTGGGCTTCACTTCTGCGGCTCTTTTTATTAGTCTGACAGGGAAAGCTGTGCGCAAACAGAAACACACACACATATAGCTATACATACTGTATATTCATTTATATATAAAAAAAGACACTCCCCAGAAAAAAAGAGCACTTTCTCTCGAGGAAGAAAAAGGGCAGGTGCTCAAGCCCCCTTTTATGTCTATGTGTGCATGTGCCTGATTAGGAATGTCAGTAATATTAGTAATTTCAGTAGTATTAATAATGTCTGTAGTATTAGGAATATCAGTGTTAGTAAAGTGTTTTTTGTCGAGGATCTGGCAGCTGTTTCTGTATGAACGTCATGATGATTTTCACTCATGAGGCTTTTATGAACTAATATTAACATCATAAACTGCAGTATAATGAGCAGCTGCTGAAGGTGTTTTCAGGTGTGAGAGCGACTCTGGTCAGGAATTATGGGCCAGAAAACCCTGAAATGATACCGTGTGTGTGGTTTATGAGTCTGCTCTTGTCGGGCTGGAGAAACATGTATTTCTGTTAGAGATATTTTTGTCAGTCCTGCTGCAACTACAATTCCAATTTCATGCGTGTTAGAGAGAAAGACAGAGACGCTCTGAGGAGAGAGAGAGAGAGTGTGTGTATGTTTTAGGAGAGAGAGAGTGTTTTTAAAAGGCAACAGTGATTGGTTAAGGAGAAAGCAGAGAGAGACAGAGCGAGAGAATGGAGTGCAGAAGCACTGCTGTGAGAAACAGAGTCAATCTGCCACCTAGTGAGCATCATTTATCAGACACTGACAACACGTCTGTCCATTTACAAACCTACAGACAGACAGAGACAGACGCATGAGCGCTTCATCTCATCCTGAGGAGCTCCGAGATTGCGTACTGGCCTCTTGTTCAACATGTTTAAGCATTTTATATTTTTCCAGCAGTCATATTATGTAATGCCAGTCCGGGATGCCATGAATTTCATTTTCCATGATCATTTCCACCTCTCTGCTGTTATTTAGCACTTTACCTTTAAGAGTTCTATATGTAAATGATCTCAATTATGATCAGCTGACTTCTTGACTTGTGTAATAGTTTCATTCCCTGCTCTGTGCAAATTGCAGTATTAATTTTGTGGGTGTGTTTGAGTCCTGGGGCGGTGCTTACGTCAGAAGGGGCGGAGTCTGAGATTAGAATGACAGCGGCTGAGCGAATGTTCACAGATGAAGATGTGATGAACGCTGTGGTGTAGAATAGTGTGTGGGGGAGGAGACTGGGGTGGAGTTTAGTGCTGAAGGGGCGGGGCCTGGGATTACAGAGGACTATATCAGAGATTAGAACGAGTGAGTGTTGACAGACAGATGAATGCGTGAGGAGCTCTGTGGTGTAGATGAGTGTCTGGGTAGGGTTTGAGTCATTAGGGGCGGGGTCTGATCAGAGTGAGTGCTGACAGACAGATGAATGCGTATGAGCGCTGCTGGAGGCAGATGTGCTGCAGAGGAGTCTCTGTTTCTCTCCACTGATTTATGGCAGGTTTGTGTTGCTGAAGCTGCAGATCTGAGTTCACGTTAGTCTGGATCTCAGAGTAAATCAAGAAAATAACAAAGCGCTTCATTAAATGGCGCATGGGTTTGATGAATATGTGGGATTGTGTGTGCATTGATAGACGTGTGCGGGAATAATGGACGAGTGTGTCTGCGGCTCATAACAGATGATGTGTGTGTGATATTTCCACACGTGTTTGGCTTTATTGAAGCTCTGCAGCATCCACATTAAACACCGCAGAGTTTATTATGAGTGTGTGTGTGTTATGAGGTCAAGCGGATGTTTATGAGCGACACTGATGTGTGTGTTTCTGTATGTGTAAGCATGAACACAAATCTCCCAGCATCCCTCGCTCATGTCGTTCTGCCCTGTTTTTCTCTCTCAGTTCCTCCAGTCATCTATAAAGTTTCGGACGACATCACTGTGAACGAGGGCAGTAACGTGACGTTGACGTGTTTGGCCAGTGGGAGGCCAGATCCCTCCATCACCTGGAGACTGCTCAACCCGTCAGGTGAGAGACAGCCAATCAGCTGCTGGAAAATCTCCTATTACACCCTGTGTGCTGCAGATCATGTGTGTTGTTGCAACCACATCACATAAACCACAACACCCCAGCAGGCGCCTGATTGTGAGGGTTCTGTCAGTCTGAAGCGATCGTGGGTTCAGTGTCCGCATGTCCTTCAGACTCACAGAAGAACCTTCAAACACTCTGACCTGGATTCTGTCAGCATGTTCTCTTTCTGTCAGACAGGAAGTCGAAAGAGTGTCAGCGAGAGAATGTGTGTGTGTGTGTGTGTGTGTGTGAGAGACTGTGTGTGTCTGAGTGTGTGTGTGTGTGTAATGGTTGGAGATCCTCTTTTCCACAGAAGGTCACTAGAGGTCGGAGACAGAGGCCTTTTAACAGCTGGAACATTAATCAAGTGTTATCAGTGTTTGCTGTAATATTAAACCAGCTCTAAACCAGCACTGAGCGGCTCAATTAGCCTTTTTCACAAAAATTGGAAATTATATCAGCGCAGGGTAAAGTTAGTTTCGTTACAGGTCTGCGCCGATTATATTAGTATGCCCTTTTCTCAAATAATGCTTCTTGCATTTTCTGTTTTGTCTGTTTTCCAAGTTGTTGATATATAATCTACAAAGAAATAACATTTGACTTGTTAGTAACTTATAAGGCCCCTCAGACCGCTGAATCGTGAGATAATGCGCTCAATATAGCATCCTTTTTATATAGTTTTTGATCTCCGGTACATTTGAGCGTATTATCTCAATTTACTCCGTCACTTCCCTTTGTATGCGTGTGTGTGTTAGTGTGTGTGTAATGGTTGGAGATCCTCTTTTCCACAGAAGGTCACTAGAGGTCGGAGACAGAGGCCTTTTAACAGCTGGAACATTAATCAAGTGTTATCAGTGTTTGCTGTAATATTAAACCAGCTCTAAACCAGCACTGAGCGGCTCAATTAGCCTTTTTCACAAAAATTGGAAATTATATCAGCGCAGGGTAAAGTTAGTTTCGTTACAGGTCTGCGCCGATTATATTAGTATGCCCTTTTCTCAAATAATGCTTCTTGCATTTTCTGTTTTGTCTGTTTTCCAAGTTGTTGATATATAATCTACAAAGAAATAACATTTGACTTGTTAGTAACTTATAAGGCCCCTCAGACCGCTGAATCGTGAGATAATGCGCTCAATATAGCATCCCTTTTTATATAGTTTTTGATCTCCGGTACATTTGAGCGTATTATCTCAATTTACTCCGTCACTTCCCTCGAATCACCACATGATAAATTACTTAAAAATGACAATATTTATGTCCAGATGCACATTTTTTCCAAGAATACATTAAATATTTCATATTTATTTCCCAGGGCACATTATACAACGTACATTTAAACCATCACTTTAATAATGCAAAGGAGAGCAAGTAGAACATATTACTTTAATAATAATAATTAGCGAAAAATTCACGTGGAGAGTCATAATGCACAGCCAGCACCAAACGGACAGAACGGCAAAACTAACTGAATTATAATTGCCACCATTTAGATTTAAACAAACTTGTATCTGATGACCAAACAGTTAATTGTGAAATGTTTGCGCTTTGTAGAGTAAATTACCGGCAGTTCAAGCGTTTTCACAATCTCTAATTTGTATAAAAAGACTTTGATTCTCGAACTCATTCTTGTTAAGTACGGCCGCAATTGTCACCAGAAAAACTTTTACCCTGCAAGCACAAATCCGGAAGCCAGAAACACGGAAGTGTGAAAAAGGCTAATCGGAGGAGACGTCATGCGTCATGTGACTGTGAACGAGTCGCTTCAGTTGTGTTGAAAACACGTCCAGCTCATGTTAATTCTCTCAGTTAGTCAGAGACTTCAGATTCGTGTTCAGTTTAATCAAACCAGTAACTCTCTCTCACACACACACACACACACACTC